CAAGGTATCCCAGGGCTCTGCGGACCCATCGGGAGATACGAGATTACCCTTAAGTCGAGCCTGTCCCCCTACAGGAGACAAATTCAAACATAGTCCAAACATAATCTGGGGACGATTTGTTTTAACATGTTGGGGCATTTGTTTGGCATGTTTCGAATCCTCTTAACTTTTCGCCCAAAATCCCCCTGTAGGGGGACAGGCCCGACCTAAGATCACCGAGTGGTGCCCACACAAATGCGACTTTCTTACTCGGTGAGCTCACCGCACCGCCCAGCAGACCCCCCCTGGCTCCTTCACCTTCCACACGAGGCCGCCGGCCTTGTCCTTCTTTGAACCTGCGCGCCGGTCGCCCGCCGTGTCTCGGCCGCGTGCCACGCTTGAACGAGCGGATCCCCTGTGCCAGTGTTAAGTCGGGCCTGTCCCCCTACGGGGGGATTTTCGACGAGAAATGAAACATACCCCAAAAAAATCGAAAAATAATCCAAAGATAGTCGGGGGCTATTCTTTGTTGTCTTTGTTACATTGTTGGGGTATGTTTTGGGTTTTTTCTTTTTCGTCGAAAATCCCCCTGTAGGGGGGACACGCCCGACACAATGCTAGTGAAGAGGGCCGAGGAAGAAAACTGCTGCATAGGAAGAAACGTTCGGAGGTCCGCGCGCAGTATCGGGATCGGCGCTCAGCCCCGCACGGGCCAGCGCGCCGTCTCTGCCTTCTCATCTTCGGCAGGAGGAAGATGTTTCAGCGAGCCACAGCGCCCCGCATCCGAAACATGTAAGTACCACGGCAACTGCAGACATCGAGCAAAATGAGATGATCACCCCGAGACGGGAATCCTCCTCCTCCTCCTGCTGCTGCTCCTGCTCCTGCTCCTCCTCCTCCTCCTCCTCCTTTTCCTCCTCCTCCTCCTCCTCCTGCTGATCTTATTCCTCCTCCTCCTCCTCCTACTCCTTCTCCTGCGCTCGCTGGCGCGTCCGTGCACGCGCGGGCATGAAGAGCGACAGAGATAAGGAGGAGGAGGAGGAGGAGGAGGAGGAGGAGGAAACGGAGGACGAGGAGACGGAGGAGGAAAAGCAGGAGGAGGATGAGGAGCAGCAGGATGGTGAGGAAGAGAGGAGGCGCAAGGGGAGGAAGAGAAGGGGGAGGAGGAGGGACGAGGCAGAAGGCGGAGGCAGAGAAAGAAGGAGGAGCATCGAGGATCGGTGGTCGAGCGACCCCGAACCTCTTGAGTTAACCCGAATATTAAGACGAACCCGAACGTCTTGAGATTCCGACCGACCGAAGAGGAAAAAGGGGAGGAGGAGGAGTAGGAGGAGCTAGCACTGCAGCTCATCATCGAAGAAGGGAGAAGGGCAAGATAATGAGGAGGGAGGATAAGGAGGAGGAGCACGAGGATAAGGAGGAGGAAGAGACGAAGAACAAAAAGGAAGAGGGGGGAGGAGGGAGGATGGTGGAGGGGGCGAAGCCGACGACGGAGACGACGACGACCAGCACGGCGGACGCGGCGGGGCCGCATTTCGCGGTGGACGACCAGGACGACGACGAGGCCGAACACGACGCCGCCGCCGGCGACGACGACGACGACGACGGCGGCGGCGGCGGCGGCGGCGACGACGACGACGACGAGGCCGACGACGACGACGACGAGAACGACGGCGACGACGACGACGAGAACGAGACGACGACGACGACGACGACGACGACGACGACGACGACGACGACGACAGAGACGAGGACAACAACGACGACGACAACGAGGACGAAAACGACGGCGACGACGACGACGAGGATGACGATGACGACGAGGCCGAAGACGACGACGAGGACGAGGACGACAACGAGAACGACGGCCGGCACGGCGGCCGCGACGGGCGGGCGCGGCGGACGCAAAGCGGGCACGCCTCCGCCCTCGGAGTCCTGGCGCGCGGGCGCGGCGCGCAGACCCGGGAAGGGCCCACCCGTCACGTTTGGGGGGCGTCCAGGCTCCGTGCCGCCTCGGGCCCCACAGTCGACGTTGCTCGTTCGGCGGTGCATCGTAAGCCGTTTGGCTCGAAGAGCCTCTAAGGGGGCGAAGCGCGCAACCCAGTTTTCCTGTCGCTGGATACTCGATCAAAGACAAGAGCTCACCTGTCACTCGGGGGTTGTCCAAGAGGGAGGGCTCATCTGTCGTTTGCTGGCGGCGCGCGCAAGGGGGCAGGGGGAAGGGGGGAAGGCCTCTCAGAAGCAGGCTGCTTCTCACAAGGCTGCCGGCCTTCCGTCGACAAACAGGGCCTGCGCCTTCCTAAGAGGCAAGGGCGTTTCTGAAAAGCCCCCCCCTCCCCCCCACCTCCGTCCGCGCACAACCGAACCCAGGGGCGCCCAGGCGGGGGGTGCGCAACAGCTCGTGGCCCGAAGCACGCGCGCGGCCGAGGGTGGGTCGAGAGTTAGGCCGGGCATGTGTCTCTACAGGCGGAGTTGGGAAGAAAAATGACCATCTCTCCAAAGAAAAAGTCTGAAGAAATTAGCATGGCGAAAGGCCCAGTTGTGAGCACCGAGTATGTGAATGCCGTCTTCGGTGGAGCTCATGGGGGCAAGAACCGTGTGACGGGTGTGTCAAACTGGAATGGTGGCGGCACGCGGGCGCTACCACTGGGGCCTTCGGTGGAACTCCCTATAGAGCCTTCGCCGTGGCTCCCTCTGTCCGTGATCTGTTTTCTGGAGGTTTAGCGAGAAAAGCTAGACCGTCCAAGATTGTCCTTCCCTTCTTTTTCTCCCGCTGTTCCCGCGCACTCCAAAACCCAAGGCTGCGGGCGCAGCGCAGCGCGCAGTCCCCGCGACGCGCGCCAGTCGCCCCGAAGGAGTCCCAGCGGCGCGCGCGGGTCGTCCTCTGCGCGGAGGAACGAGAGCCAGCTTGCTGGCTGATTGCGAGCAAGGCTCTGGCTACTGGGCAGAGCGACGACAGGCAAGCGAGGCGCTGGGCAGAGCGCAGCATGGAGTTCCCGCGACGCGCGCTGGTCGCTCCGAGAGGGTCCCAGCGCCGCGCGGGCCAAACAGTCAGACCGTCGAGAGAAGGCGAGGCTCGGGCAGGCCGCTCCCCTGCAGGGCTATGGGGCCACGAAGCGTGTGAAAGATGTGCCCCCTATGGGGCCACAGAACGCTGTGCTGGGCGCACGAACACCGTGCGAGTTCCGTCACTGTGACCTTCGGTGGAACTCCCTATGGGGTCACGAAGCGCTGTACTGGGCGCAAGAAGCGCATGCGAGTTCCTCCACTGGGACCTTCGGTGGAGCTCCCTATGGGGCCACGAAACGCTGCACTGGGCGCAGGACGGCATGCGAGTTCCGCCACTGGGACCTTCGGTGGAGCTCCCTATGGGGTCACGAAGCGCTGCACTGGGCGCAGGAACTGCATGCGAGTTCCGCCACGTACTGGGCGCAGGAGCCGCATGCGAGTTCCGCCACTGGGACCCTCGGTGGAGCTCCCTATGGGGCCACGAAACACTGCACTGAGAGCAGGAACCGCATGCGAGTTCCGCCACTGGGACCTTCGGTGGAGCTCCCTATGGGGCCACGAAGCGCTGTACTGGGCGCAGGAGCCGCATACGAGCTCTGCCACTGGGACCTTCGGTGGAGCTCCCTATGGCCCTATGGGGCCACGAAGCGTTGCACTGGGTAAGGGAAACGCAGGGAGGAGGGACGAGGAGGAGGAAGGAGGAAGGAACGCGGGGCGCTGTCCCTTCAAAACGAAGACCAAACACCACAGGATGACTGGGAAGAATCAAAGATCAGAACAACATTATTTTCTTAATGCCCCATTCGAATCAATAATAATCAAACATCATCCCCAGACTGTTTTTATAACTACTTGAAAGAATCCCCCTGTAGAGGGACATTCCCGACTTCAGCCAAGGGGCGCATTGGAACAAGAAGAAGGGATCACAAGATCTGGGAGATCTCATGGCCCTGGCCAAAGTTATCCCCCTCCCTCCCAGCCATCACCCCCTCTTGGACGCCTCCGAGTCGAGGAAGCCGGCACTTGGACCCACCTCGAGAAAAAAACGAAGCCAAGACCCAGGCAAAGTCGGACCGGGATAAATTGGCAATCTCTGAGATCCGGCGGCTCTTGAACCAGGCGCCGCGGTTGTTTCAAAGCGCCCTCGAACGCCATGAGAGAGCTCCGAACTGCTCTGCAACGGTGTATCCCTGTCATGGCCCCGCCCAATCGATCCCACCCGACGATGACGTATGGAATCCGGAGTTCGTCCACGGGAAGCCAGCACCGCACCTTATGAGTCTATGAGTGGACTGCCTGTGGAGATGGTTCGTTCACAAACCCTGGCTGCATCCGCTTCGGAGGAGGAGGAACAGGACGCGGAGCGGAAGGCGGAGGGCCGACAGAGGAAAGGGAGGAGGGGGAGGAGGAGAAGGAAGAAAACGAGGAGGACGAGGAGGGAGGAGAAGGAGGAAGAGGAGGGAAAAGGAGGAGGAGGAGGAGGAGAGGGAGGAGGAGGAAGAGGAGGAGGAGGCGAAGGAGGAGGAAAGGAGGAGTGAGGAGGAGGAGCAGCAGGATGAGGAGGGAGAGTGGAGGAGGGAGAGGAGAAGGAGGAGGAGGAGGAGGAGGAGGAGGAGGAGGAGGAGGAGAGGAGGAGGAGGAGGAGGAGGAGGGAGAATTGAAAAGGTCTTTCGTCCTTTTCGGCCTCGGGAGTTCCGCGTCGGCCCCTCCAAAAAAGAGACCGTCAGAGATGGATCCCGGGTGTGAAGGCACTGGTCAGGGGTCTGGGGAGCACAATCCTGAGCGGATGCTGGTCGAGATGAAAAGTGGATGGGGCCCTGGGACACACAAATACATAGACACAAATCCCAGGATTCCCAAGCTTTTCTTGTATTTTCTGGGCGTTCGTCGTCCCACGCGTTTCCCATCTATTCCAATCTTTTTCTGGGCGTCGACGACTACTTGTATCTTGTGTTTCCCCCTCCCGAAGGAGGATGCGAAGGAGAAGGAGCAGGAGCAGGAGCAGGAGGGGTCGGTTCGTAGGCACGGGAGGAGGGCTTAAAAGGGAAGATGCCCGAAAGGGACGGATAAACTCCTGCTCAAAGTTAGGAGAACTCTACGCTAAGAGAATGGACGTCACTACACCACGCGAAATGGTTAAGAAATCATGGGTTAAGAAATTCATGGTCTCAGAAATTGAATAAAACCCAGAACTTCTATCAAAATCTTGGGATTTACATTGAAAAGTTAAGAATAATCGAGACTCTGGACGAAGACTTAGGTTTTCTTAAGCATCGCCTAAGGTGTACAAGCCCTTTCTCAGAAAACCATCCAGGTCCAATAAGACGGAAGTTCTACGGAGGAATCTTCACGAAAACGCCCAGGGTCCAGTCCAGATTCTTGAGCTGCTAAGTGGAAAGCTGGAATGCACGAACCTTGATGTTGTATTTCTTGTGATCTCTGATGGTTGTATGATTTGTCAGCATGGGCTGGTCTTACAACCCGCCGTTGTCAGGAGCACGGCAAGCAGACCAAACATGGCTTGGCCACCAAGCTGCACCTGCCACAGCAGAGACGCCGAGGCAGCACGCAGCAGGCCAACGGGGGCCAGAAAGAGAGAGCCCCCCCCCCGCCGAGAGAAAGGCCAGCCCGCCATCTCTGAAGCGCCATGGGGCACAGCGACGGAAACCCACGGACACCTCCAGCGAGAGCCCCGCGTGGAAGAAACGATCTGCGCCCTCCGCCCTGTGAGACGAAGCCAAGACGAGGATCAAGCCTGGTGAGGATGACTCTAGACTCTCTGAGATCCGGCGGCTCTGGAGGATGTCTCGGGCGCCGCGGCCTTCCCAGAGCGTTCTAGAGCGCTCTGAGAGCGTTTCAAAACGCTCGTCCCAGCCCCGTCCGGCCCATGTAGATGTGGCGCAACGTCTGCGGTTTGGCTGTGCTTCCGCCGGCTTCCGCCAGCCCTCCGCCTGCTCCCGTCGAAGGCGAGACGCACCGAAGGCGATGCCCTCGCTGGAACGCTGCTGAAAGGGGCCGGAAGAGAGACAGAGAGAGAGAGAGAGAGAGAGACTGGCTCCAGGGGAAGACAATGACGCGAAATCGTCGAGATGCGCGTCAACGACGGATCGGCGGCGGGCCCAACAGATCCGCGACGGGTCCAGGATGGGCAAGCCCCGAGCTCCTGAGAAAGCCCCTTGGGGCCCAAGCCCCGATTGCCGACGGATGGGCGGTCGATGCTCCCCCCCACTGGGCCAGTCCCCGACCAATGTCGGCGCCCCTGAGCCGTATGATTTTGCCGATCCGCTGCCATAAAGGTCTGACCCCTGCTCCAAGCGGATCCGATTTTGATGGTCATGGGACCGATCACAAAGCCTGGGGGCCGAAAACGAGGAAAAACGCCGGGATTCAAAAAAACGATCCTCGGAGATCTCGGTGTCCTCCGCCCCCCCCTCCCTGAGCGTGTTTTTTCCCAACCATCTTGTGGTGTTGGGTCCTCGTTTTGAAGAGACAGCGCCCTGCGTCCCTCCTCCTTCCTTCCTTCCTCCTCGCCCTCCTCCACCTCCTCCTCCTCCCCCCCCTCCTCCCTCCTCCCTAGCGCCCAGGAAAGCGCTTCGTGACCCCATAGGGAGCTCCACCGAAGGTCCCAGTGGCGCAGCCCGCATGCGTTTCATACACCCAGCATAGCGCTTCGTGACGACATAGGGAGGTCCACCGAAGGTCCCAGTGGCGCAGCCCGCGCGCATCTCTCAGACCCAGGTCCCAGTGGCGTAAGTCGTCTCCCGCACCCAGTACAACGCTTCGTAGCCCCATAGGGAGCTCCACCGAGGGTTCCAGTGGCGCAGCCCGCATGCGCCTCCCCCACCCACTACAGCGTTTCGCGGCCCCGTAGGGAGCTCCACCAACGGTCCCAGGAGCGCAGTCCGCATGCGCCTCCCACATTCAGTACAACGTTTCGTGGGCGCAGCCCGTGCGTCTCCCAGAACAAGTACAGCGCTTCGTGGCCCCGTAGGGAGCTCCACCTAAGGTCTCAGTGGCACAGCCCGCATGCGCCTCCCCCGCCTAGTAGCGCTTCATGACTCCATAGGGAGCTCCACCGAAGGTCCCAGTGGCGCAGCCCGCATGCGTTTCCCCCACCGAGTACAGCGCTTCTTGGCCCCATAGGGAGCTCCACCGAAGGTTCCAGTGTCGCAGCCCGCATGCGTCTCCCCCGTCAGGTACAGCGCTTCGTGGCCCTATAAGGGGGCTGCACCGAAGACGATACCTACAACTGCGGTATCCGCACAACTGCATATGGTTGGGTCCTCCGCCAGGCTAATTAATTGGATTCTGGCAGGCTTGCTTGCTTGGCGCAGGTTTCCCTTCGGGCCTCGCCACGCCCCACCCCCCTCCCACCTCCACACAAGCAAACCATCCTCCTCCTCCTCCTCCTCCTCCTCCTCCTCCTCCTTCTCCTCTCCTCCTCCTCCTCCTCCTCCTCCTCCTCCTCCTCCTCCTCCTCCTCCTCCTTAAGCAAACATCCTCCTCCTCCTCCTCCTCCTCCTCCTCCTCCTCCTCCTTCTGTTCCTCCTATCCCTCCTCCTTCTCCTCCTCCTCCTCCTCCTCCTCCTCCTCCTCCTCGGGCTGGAGCTAAACATGCCTGTTCGTTTTCGCTTTGTGCTCGTTTTCCTTCGTTCTCTGTTCCTTCTGCCTTTGTTGCTGCGAGACAAACCCAGAACGAGACGCCCACGAAATCGCCCAACCACAGCTGAGCTCGAGCCCTGAAGCAAACCTGCCCGAGTCCTCAAGAACACCTGCCCCCACGGAAAAAAAAAAAAAAAAAAAAAACACAAAACAAAAAAAAAAAACGCCGGCACTGAGAACAGAACCTGAGCTCGGAGATCTGGGTGTCATCCTCCCCCCGGCGGCAGCGGTGGCACCTCGGGGTCGTCGTCGACGGCGGCGTCGACGGCGTCGTCGTAGTCGTCGGCGTCGTCGGCGGCGTCGTCGGCGGCGGCGTCGTCGGCGTGGTCGGCGGCGGCGTCGTCGCGCCGCGGCGGGCGAGCGGAGGCGGCGCGCCGCCCCACGGGGCGAGGCAGGCGCGCGCGGTCCTCGTCGCTGCCTGCCCGCGCTCGTTGCCGCCCACGGGGGCCCACGGGGTAGGAGCAGGGGCGGGGCAAGGGGGGTGGGCGGAAAGGGGAGGAAGACCAGGCAGGAGGCGAGGAAGGAGGAGGAGGCGATGGGGTGGGGCCAGGCAGCAGGAGGACGAGGAGGGAACGGAGGGAAGACGACGACGACGACGACGACGACGACGACAACGACGACGGCGACGACAACGACGACAGGGAGGAGGCGGAGGAGGAAGACGAGGAGGAGGAGGAAGAGAGGAGTAGGACGAGGAGGAGGAGGAGTAGGAGGAGGAGGGGAACGAGAAGGGGGAGAGGATCTCTGAGGTTGGGACGAGGGAGGAGTTGAATGATGCTCGGGGGAAGGAGAAGGAGGAGGGAGGAGGGAGGAGGAGCAGCAGCAGAAGCAGGAGCCGGAGCAGACGGCCTTGTCTTTTCGCTCGAGTGCCCGCTGGTGCCTGGTGCCGCCATGTTCGGCTTCCTGCAACATCTGGCACAACGTTGGCGTGAAGATGGCAGGGTACTCATGGTCAGAAGAAGTAGGTAGAAACATGAAATGAGAAGGCGTGAAAAGTAGATTGGGTTCCGTCCGCCCCCTAAGGAGGACGGAAAAGGTGAAGCCACTCGATCATTGAAGTAGGAAGGCGCTTAATGTAGATCGGAATCTGGGACTCCAAAAAAACCTACTCTCAACGACTGATGCCTACTTTCGGACAGCCCTCAGCCGCACTTCCCTCTGGCAACTGGGATAGTAACATAACGTCGGATCGATGTGGCTAAAATCAAAACGTATCATAAGGACGCGTGGTAAGGACGGAAGACCATTGGAGGCCGAAGTTGGAGCAGGTGGGGCGACAGGCGACCGAAACCGCAGGGACGCAAGGGTACCCTAACCCGCGGCGTCCAGGACTCAAAGCAGCCTAAGGCCTAGGCATGACGGCCTCATTGGCCTAAGCAAGCGCAGTGGCCCACTCGCTGAGGTCATCAAGGGCCACACGTCGGCTGCTCAGGTCACACTACCAAATCCGCCACGGTGCCACCAGGCATGCCCAGGCATGGCAGAATGCCAAGTGCTGTCTGGATGGGCTTCTGCAATTCTTCTGAAGCCCCCCCACCCTCTCGACACGTCCGATCGCTTGCACCATTCCCCCCGTCCGGCGAGGCCTCATTGGCACCCCGACGCCTTCGAGGAGTCCCTCCAAGGTTTCCAAGACGGCCGAGGAGGAGGTCCACCAAGGCTGACAAGATGGCGCAACGTTGTCTCAAGAGATCTCCCGGAGAACACCCCAGCAGGCGCCCAAGAGGACCCAAGCGGCTTCCGAATCACAAAAGCAAAGGTCACGAGGCCCTCCAGGAATGCCATAATCACACCACAATGAAAAAGGAACCCATGCGTTGCCTTGAACAGTGTGAGTATCTCGGACCCGTCAGCTCATTATGCTCGCAAGGAGGGCATGGGAATTCCCAAAAGAGGCCGAATGAAGCAAGCCAGTGCCCCAAGAAGCCCCCCAGACGACCCCAAGAGGGCACCGAAGAAGGTCCCGGAGGGGGCCCAGGACAGCCCAAGAGGACCCGAAGATGACCCAGAGGGGGCCCCGAGAGGCCCCGAAATCGAGCCCTCAAGCCTCCAAAAAGAGGGGCCCAGGACGGCCCAAGAGGTCCCAAATACGGCCCAGCAGGGCCGCCCCAGTAGGGAACCGAGGCAAGAGGAGGAGGAGGAGGAGGAGGAGGAGGAGGAGGAGGAGGAGGAGGAGGAGGAGGGAGAGGAGGAGAGGAGGAGGAGAAGGAGGAGGAGGAGGAGGAGAGGAAGGATGCCCCCTGGGATCCTCAGGAGGGCCCCGTGTGAGCCCCGTGCAGTGCCCAGGCGGCCCACGAGGGCTGCTCGAGGGCCAGAGGCGGGAGGTGCCGGTGGTGCTGCCTCCGGGCCTCGGTTCCCTCCTCCTCCTCCTCCCCTCCTCCCTCCTCCTCCTCCTCCTCCTCCTCTCCTCCTCCTCCTCCTCCCTCCTCCCCCTCCTCCCTCCTCCCTCCTCCCTCCTCCCTCCTCCCTCTCTCCCTCCTCCCTCCTCTCTCCTCCCCTTCACTCCTCCCTCCTCCTCCTCCTCCTCCTCCTCCTCCTCCTCCTCCTTCTCCTCCTCCTCCCCCTCCTCCTCCCCTCCTCCTCCTCCTCCTCCTCCTCTCTCCTCCTCCTCCTCCTCCTCCTCCTCCTATTATTTCTCCTCCTCCTCCTCCTCCTTCTCCTCCTCCTTGCCGGAGCGCCATGACCACACCCCAGTGCATAGCCCAAGAGGTCGACTCCGGCTTCGTGAAAGCCACAGGGCAAACAGTGAGGCACACCCCGAAACGACGGGGAGGAGCGTCTCACATGCTGCGCCTCTCTTGGGGCAAGGCACGAGAGTTGTCAAATGGTGTGGCCTTCGCCTCATCCTCCGCCTCCCCCCTTTCCCTCTTCGTCATAATATCATTCCTCTCCCCCCCTCCCCCCGACTGCTCTTGCTCCTCCTCGTTTCTAAGGGTCCAAGACGGCAGGTAGGCCCCAGAGGAGCCCCTTAAGGAATAAAGGCAAGGTGTGTCACATGCTACGGCAGTATGAAGTGTCAGCCCAGCTCCACAGGAAAGTGGACTGAAATCCCCCGTGTGCCAAGGAAAAGTCTGGCTTTGGGGGGGATCACGGGGCATGACGGGAGCCAGGTTGTTCATCCGATGACGCCCTCTGCCCATGCCGAGTCTCGGAGGCGGGTGGGAGTGAGCGAGACAGCACGTGGCGTTCCCGGTGGGAGCCTGACCCTTCCCCCCCTCCCCTCTGCAATCAGGGAGCCAGTTTGCGCTCAGGATGGCTCGACGATGGCCCCAGATACGTAATACCACCCAAGTTGAAACCACATGGCGTGCAGCATGCCTCCAAGAGACAAGGAGATGCCTCCAAGACGGCCCCGCAGGGCTTCGAGCCGCCCAGGGACGACCCGAGAGGCCAAACTCCTTCAAAGACTATGGAAAATGCGCAATGAGTTCTTCTCGACGTTTCGACTGTGATCGACCTTTGAAGCCTCAAGATGCCCCAGAGAGCCCCAGGAGAGGCACTGAAGGGCCCCAAGACGGCTCCAGTGGCCTCCACGAGATGAGCTCGAGAGTGCCCCAAGGAGGCATGCTGGGAGAAGCTGCTCTGCCTCCGACTCGGGGCGGGGTCCCTGGCTACGACCAGGAACTGTTGATTAGCGTGTCGCGGCGGCGGCCGCCCCAGCGACACGCTGTGCCGTGCAAGCGGACAACGGGTCTTGCCGCTTCGCGGGGCGGGCGGCTTGGGACGTTGACGCTTGCAAATCGAGAAGCGGGCAGCGTGTCCCGCCGAAGCGTGGTCGGCCAGAACCGGCGGTGCGACACGCTAGGCTAGCATTCCTGACCGTCAGTCCTCCCACCCCTGCCTGGTCAACGGGTCTCCTGGATCACTCATGCAGGCCACGAAGGCCCCAGACAGGGCATCATGAGATCCCCAAGAGAGCCCAAATGGTCTCCAAAGGACCGACTCAAGAGAGAGAGGCCCACGATCGCCCAAAGAAGCGAAGGCCACTACGGTGAGGCCCCCCTGGACAAGGAATCGGGTCTGGAAGCTGGTGGAACGCCACTTGAGGCTTGGCCATTGATGTCGCCGCCGCCCTCATCAGATAAGGAACCCGCCAGGGTCTGACGCATCCTGGGCACATTCCTTCACAAACGCCCCCGCCAATTGGGTGGCCCGTGCTCCCCGCGATCCCAAAACCCCCAGCATGAAACCACGAGGGCCTGCACGGCGCCCGTACGGGCGGCTGTTCAGCCTGCCAGATGCGCAAGGAGAGTGTGGAGGAGGTTCTACGGTGGCCGCCCCACGTGTCAGTTGCACGGCATGCTCTCTGTCTTCAATGGTCAAGACAGCTCGCTGAAGAATCGTTGCTGGATGGGCTGGTGAGGACGCGCGAATCGTCAGAAATCGTTGCCTGCAAGCGCGCTAATAGGTAGCGAGACGGCTCAGGAGGCGAACGCTCCGAGGATCTCCGCCTGCGCAGGGCAGGGTGAAGCTTCGCCCCACGAGGGGGTGAACAGACCGTGGCGCCGCTCCGAAGCGAAGCACACTGGACAATGCCTTGCCAGCTGGAGGCAGACGGCTCCCCGACCGGCTGGAGGCAGACTGCTCCCCGATGATCCGATGAGTCTCCTCCTCCTCCTCCTCCTCCTCCTCCTCCTCCTCCTCCTCTTCCTCCTCCTCCTCCTCCTCCTCCTCCTCCTCTTCCTCTGCCTCTGCCTCCTCCTCCTTCTCCAACCCCTCCCCGTCCACCGCCTCCTTCCACCCCTCCCCCCTTCTCCCAAAAGAGACTAACATGTACCGATGCCGCTACTCCCCCGACCCCCCCCCCCCGAGGTGCGTCCTGACCTGATCTGACCTGAACGCCGAGGCGAATCCAGCCGTGACGACGAGGGCCTCCAAAAGGAGCTCCAGAGAGGCAAAACGAGGGAATGGGGTAGAGGTATCCGCACCTCCTCCTCCCCATCGGCCCCTCCCTCCTCCCCGCCGACGCCCCTCCTCCGCCCTCTCCCCGCCGTGGCCCTCGCCCTCCCCCCCGCCCCCTCCCCGCCGTGGTCGCCGTCGTCCGAGGGCTGCCACTCCTTCTCGGGCTCGCCTGCCGCCGCCACGACGGCGCGCCCGCGCGAGCGCGCGCGCGCGAGGGGGCCGCCCGTGCCACGGCGCGCTGGGGGGAGGGGGGGAGGGGGATGGAGGGAGGGGAGGGGGAGGGGCAGGGAGGGGAGAGAGCAGGGGAGGGGCAGGAAGGGGCAGGGAGGGGGGGGAGGGAGGGGAGGGGAGGGGCAGGAAGGGGGGGGTGGAGGGAGGGAGGGGGGCAGGAAGCAGAGAGGGAGCAGGCAGGGAGCGTCGGGGGGGCATCTCGCCGCCACGGCCGAGCTCCGCTCGGGACCCGGGCCCGAAGCCTTCTCAGGACAGGGCCGAGGTTCGATGTTCCAGGAAGGAAGGGAGGGGAGCGAGGGAGCACGGAACGAGGGAGGAGGCAAGGAGCGAGCCAGAGGCATGGTGGGGCTCTTGTCGCTGCAAGCCTGTGAAGAAGAGCGCACAGCAACTCCGATGGCTGGGGCGACGCGTTTCCACTGCACCAATCCCACCACCACGGAAAGGAAGCAAGAGGAAGGGACCGGCCCCAGCCCGCGCCTGTGCTCTGCTGGGCCTCGGGGCGTTTGTCCCTGGCGGCGCGCGCGGGCGCCTTCTTTTCCTGTCTTTCTGTCGGTCACTAGCCCTGTCTCCCTCATAGCATGCCACTCTCTCTCTCTCTCTCTCTCCCTTCCACTCTGTGCATCCCTCTCGCTCTCTCTCTCTCTCTCTCTCTCTTTCTCTCATTCTCTCTCTTTCTGAATCTGTCGTTCGTTTGATCTCTCTCTCTCTCTCTCGCACTATTTAAGTATACATGCACATATGCGTAAAGAATTTGAATATACAATGTCCGACGGTTTGCGGCGCTGTGCCGCTGAATGCGTGATCCGTTAGGTCGGTCAGGCGCGCGAGGAGTCCGCGGCGCGCGGGGAAGGCTGAAGGAGGGGAAGAGGAAGAGGGTGGGAGGGAAAAGAAAGGTGTTGAACAACGCTGGGAGCCTCCGGAAGCAGCTCGGCACAGCAGGCGGGATTGGGATCGGAAAAGGATCTAAGCGGGGGGGGGGGCAGCAGGGAAGGCGACGCGGAAGATGGCAGGAGGAGCGGTGATGAGTGATGGCCCAGAACTCCAACTTCACGTTTCCTTCAATGCGGAATTGTTTCTGCGTGCTCGGCTTCCAGAAGCCTTCAACGGGCCCCCGCACTGTCAAACACCGACTCAAGAGGAAAAGACCGTCCCGAGGGAAGTTGGCGGGACCTCTGGGGGCCCCGTCTTGAAAATATCACGACATCGGATGTGTGGGGATGCGGTGATAGGTGATGATGTGGCTTCGTGCAGAGGGTACACGTGGTGCCGGGGCGCCAGGGGCGATTACGCATCGACATCCACGGCGGCGGTCGGCAGCGAGAGGTCTCCAACCTATCGCGGGTGTGGGTGCGATCGTGCACGTGCGTGCGTGCGTGTGTGTTTGTAAGAGAGTGAGAATGAGAATGAGTGTGTGCGTGTGCGCGTGCGCAGTGCCGCTCGCGCTGGTGCCGGTCCCACTACTGAGGCATGGCGACCTCGGCCGCCGAAGTTGAAGAAGTCGCTGGCGGACCTTTGTAAATGCGGACCTGAGGGATGTGATCCTAAGGGCCCCTCGAGGGACGGTATAGGACGCCTGCATGGGCCATGAGCGGGGCCCTTCGGACGACATCCCTCAGGACAACATCTACGCAGCCCCGACTTCGTGAGAGCGCTCGGTCGCTCGCTGCTGCGCCAGCCGAGCTGCCTGGGCGCCGCGCGCGGCGGGGCAGCACGCCTTGAGAGCTGGACGAGGTGCTTCATGTTGGCGCTGCTGGCAAAAACGAACTGTTCAATTGGCTTTTCAGAGGCGGGGCGGAGCGCCAGGATAGCGGCCGCTTTTGCACGCTCGAGCGGGTCGACGAGGAGTTACTGGAGCGGAACGGCGTCTGCGGCAATGAAAACATTCTGGCACATCGTTCCGTGAATGCGGAAACTTGCGGGGCGCCCCGACGAAGACTGCACGACGTGCTCGGCCAGGCAGAAAAGAATGTTGACTCGTTTTGGGCACGGCGGCGAAAGAGGCGGACGACGAAGATGCGCTTGTGAGGATGCCGCTGTGGCCGTCTGCTGCAAGAGCTCCAGAGGGCTTCAGAGGCACGCCAGAGGAGCTTCCCCCCAAAAGCCCTGAGCATTCTCTTAAGGCGGAGGGCCCACAGTGAAGACCAGACGGGCTTCTGCACCTCGGAAATGGAATCCGTCTTGTGATTCACCCTCTGCAGACTCCAACCTCTAAAATCAGTCGAAACGGCATTTCAGATTTCACCCTCTGCCCTCCACCCGAAGAAGATGCTCGGGAAAAACGGGATCCCCCGGAGACGCGGCACTGGGGGACCCCCTGGACGCTCCGGCAGAAAGTCCCCCTGGGCCTTTCTGGTAGCTCCCGGACGCCCCTGCTGGGCCTGGCACCGCGGGCCCCCCCCCCCATCGGTCGGGGGGGCGGCCGAACGGCCCGGAGAGGCTCCCGAGCGGCCCCCGGCATCCACCAGACGCCCGCAGACGACCCAAAGGAAGACCCCCAAGACACGGCGGAAAGCCCGAGCAAGATGTGGACATCCTGGCAGTCTCTGCGCGATTGTGGCAGCTCTCGGTGCTTCGGTCTCGGGGTCGTCCGAGGCTGCCCACGAGACTTGCAGATCTAGAAAGACAAGCGTCCCAGGCCTTCCGGACAGTCCAGCAGAGCCCCAAGACGGCCCATCAGGGCCCCAGCCTGGCCCGATGAGAGCTCCATGACGGCCCAAGATGGCCCCAAGACGCCCCCCGAAGCACTCCAAATCGTGACCCAGTCCTTCTGTGAGACTGCAGTTGGAAGCAGGGTGGCCAGAGGAAGCCCCCAGAGGACCCAGAAGGCGCCCAGGAGGCCTCCAGAAGGCCCCAAGAAGCCCTTACACATTTTCGCGAAGCCCCCAAGAGGCTCTGCAAGGAGGAGCATCCACAAAAAGAGTTCGGGAGGATGGGAAGGATTCGCAGAGTAGGGCGAGAATGAGGAAGAGAAACAATACGAAAGAGGAGGAATGACATAACACCATGACGACGATGCCCTAAAAGCCGACGATGAGTCACAGCTGTTGCTTGCGCTTCCTCCCCTCCCGCCTGCATGCCAAACCTGAAGGGCCAAGGTGCGTGGCGCGAAGCGCCACTGCAGTCCTGTATGAACATAGAACGATTCGCCTATACATCTAGATTTATGTCGGACGTGTCCCCCTACAGGGTATTAGGGGTATTTTCTATTGTTGGTGTATTCTTTGACTAGTCTTGGGCTATTTGATATTTTTCGTCGAAAATCCCCCTGTAAGGGGGACAGGCCCGACGTAAATCTAGATCCCTTCCCCCACCCACCCCACCCCTAAGCCCCCGCACGCGGCCGGGCGCTTCCTCATCGTCCTCGCCCTCGTCCTCATCATTCTCGTCGTGGTGATCGTCATCTTCATCCTCCTCCTCCTCCTCCTCCTCCTCCTCCTTATCATCATCATCTTCCTCCTCCTCCGCCTCCTCCTCCTCCTCCTCCTCCTCCTCCTCCTCCTTATCATCATCATCATCCGATTCCTCCTCCTCATCCGCCTCCTCCTCCTCCTCGTCTTCCCCCTACTGCTCCGCCGCCTGTACCTCCTATCCCTTGTACTCCTCCCTCCTCGTCCTAATCCATCTCCACTCCTCAGGCACTCACGCACCACCTCACCTTCATCGCGTTCTCCTGCTTATCCTTATCCTTATCCGCATCCTCGTCCTCATCCTCATCATTGTCCTTCATATTGATCGGCGCGCCTACTCTTCTGGTTCAGCAAGTACTTGCACTGGATCGCTGGCTGCATGTCCTGATGCTGTAACGCACCCTCGAGAGGGAGGAGGAGGAGCCATAGGGGGAGGTGGAGGTGACGAGGAGGTGCCACGGAAGAGGAGGGGGTGGAGGAGGCAGAGGACGTGCACGGGATCGCTGGCCGCAGTCCTGGCGCCGTGGCGCTCCTTCGAGAGGGAGGACGACGAGGAAGGAGAACGCCAACGACTGGCAAAGCCGAGCGGTTGAGGACAAGCACCCCTGCCGGGCCACAGCTCACCTCGCACCAACCCGGCCCCAGCCAAGCCCGAGCGCGTGAGACGGGGGGCGGCAGGGCGCGCAGCACCGAGGGGCGCCCTCGCGCTGCCTCCCCAGAGGAGAAGGAGGAGCACGAGGAGGCATCGGGGCCGAAGCGCGAGGCGCGAAGAGCTGACCGCGCCCTCGATGGCGCCCTTGTGGAGGAGGAGGTTCGGGTCGGGCGAAAGGGGGGGATAGCAAAGGGGGGGTCTGAGAATCAGCTCACGTAGCTGATCTTCCCGGCGCCTCCCGGCGCCGGGGGCGCCCATGTATCGAGGAATGGGCTCCTCGGCGGGGCCGAAACCAGCTGCATGCAGCAAATTTCGTACCCCCCCCTTTCCCAATCCCTCCCTTTCGCCCGGCCCGAGAGGTGGGGGTGACGGAGGAGGGGAAGCTGCGATCGGAGCATCGATGTTGCTTCCTCTCGCAACGGCCATGTGGCCCTCGCCTCGCGCGGGACCCGCGGCGCAGCGCGCCAGGGTGCAGCCGACAAAAGGCACAGAGAGAAACCAGGGCAACGTTTCAGCCTGGCCTTCGTGCCCGAACCCCTGCCCTTCGAGAGAAGCCAGGGCACGGTGGTGGGGCAACGCCCCCCCCCCCCCCCAAGAAGCCTGGCTCCACGGGTGCCAGCTCAGGCCCCTCCTCCCTCCCTAACTACCTACTCGACCATCCCAACCCAACCCGAAGACCCGAATTTCGGGTTGGGGGGGGATACGGGCTCAGAAGATGTGGTTTCACCATGTTCCTCGACCCGCCCCCCCCACCCCCACTGGGAATGGAGGGCACATTCGGGCATTCGTGTTGGGCTGGGGTGATTTGGTGGGTGGTGACTCCCGTGGCTCGGCGGCGAGCGAGGGGGGCGAAGTGAGAAGGAGAGGGCCTCCTCAGAAGGTTCGGAAGCCCCCCGGCCTTCGGAGAAGTCTTCTCTGAACCTCCCCCGGAGACGCCGAAACACTGCTCAGAGGGCGCGAGGGCTCCTGAGAAGCCCCGCCGCCTCCTGAGAAGGCCTCCTCCCCTCTCGCCCCTCCCCTAAACTGGGCTAGGATCGGGATAAATCGCTCCAGAGCGTTCCGGAGCGCTCTCAGAGCGTTCCGGAACGCTCTGGAGCTGCCGCGGCGCCCAATACATCCTCCAAACCCGCCGATTCTCAGAGATTTCGAGTTATCCCGATCGGATTTTGTCCCGATCTTCGCGTCGTCTTACCCTCCCCCCCCCCGCTCGCCGCCGAGTGGCCTCGGCCAGCGCATGCCTCGAGCGAAGCCCGGGCCCCCGCCTCGGCAGCAGGGCTTCGCGCGCAGCCGCGCGGGGTCCCCCCGGCGGAGGCCGCGGCCCCCCCGGGGACCAGGCAGGGCTCGGCGCCCGGCACCGGCAGGAGGCAGCTCTGAATAAGAAGGGCCCAGGGCCACACGAGTAAATGCACACGAGCCCCAAGATCCGCCACAGGTTCCCACATTGCTTAAAGTTTCGTCTTCCCCCCCCCCCGGTTCCCACACTTGCCCATGTTTTCCCGGGGAACGACGACTAATTGTGTCTGTGTGTTTTATCCCCTCGTGAAGCTCCCAGGAGGTTGTCGTCAGAGGGATTATAAGAGAATGCCAGGGCGAGGAGACGATCGACTGGGGATAAGATCGAGAATCATGGAGATGCGGCGGCCCTGAAGGATGTCTCGGGCGCCGCGGCCTCCTCAGAGGGTTCCGGACGCTCTGGAACAGGATATATCCTCGTCCTAGCCCTGTCCGAGATAAAGGAGTTCTGATAGCACGATTAATACGCCATTGAGCCGGATGGGTCAAGACTAGGCCCGCGATGTTGCCGCAGTGAGCGGAATTGGGCGGGATCGACCGGGACTGAACCGGACTCAATGGGATTAAACCTGACTCGGCCAGTTGCTGACCAGGGATCTACGAGCGCCAAATTCCGAAATTCGCCTGTGGCCAGGAGTTGCATCCTAGCAGGCAGTGGGCCAGAGCAGCCTCGAGCAGCCGTCTTCCAGATTGGGCGCGAATCAATGGCGGGCCATACGGCAGGTTCGTGTCGTGCCGACTTCGGCGTTGGTTTCTGACACCGCGGGGATCGTTCAACCTTGAACGATCGGCCGTTTGCGAAACGTCCAATCGTTCCACATCGAACGATTCTGGGTCGCCCGCGGCGTTCAAAGTTGAACGCCGCTGGCGGGGTCGCCGCCGGTCGACACGACGCAAACCTATCGTACATGGTGGGGGGAAGAAGGGTGCCCTGCAGGCCCCCTTGGGGGCCCTGAAGGGCCCCGCTTCAGGGCCCTATAGAGGTCCCCTGTTTTGTGCAGCCCTCGCCGCCCCCCTCTCTACCGGCGGAGCGCAGGAGTGACCCTGGATAGGAGTGGCCTGTGGCGCGCGGCTTCTTGGGGGCTGCGGGGGGGGGGGGGGGGGGGGGTGGGGGGGGGGGGCGGGGGGGGGGGGGGGGGGGGGGGCAAACCACGAGCGCGCAAGACGCTGCTACCGCACCACGCTCGGCGATCGGAGGACCCCGGTGGGCCCGCGCCGAAGACCACTCGGGCGAAGGGCCACTCTTACGCGTAATTAGTCGAATCCACCGCCCCCCCCACTGCGCGCCCCCCGACCAGGAGCTCCCGCTCCCCTCCCCCGGGGACTGGCCCTCCCGGCGCAGGTTTGCCTCGCAGCCGGCCGCGAGGGGGCCAGGCAGAGGGCAGCCTCCAGGCGCCCAGCACCACGCGCAGAAAGCACACACACAGACAGATCGGCCCGGGGCCCATCCTGAGGTGCGCTGCTTGCGCTGCAGTCGAAACGCTGCCAGACGGAACCCTAAACAAGAAGCGAGGCTCCTCCTTCCCATGAGTCACACTTCGCTCCCCCAAAGACGGGGAAACCTGAGACAGCCTGTAAAACCAGGAAGGAGCACTGAGCCCCTCCCCAGCGAACAGGGTTCCTCCTTCAGCGCCCTGGCCGACCAGGGTCGCGAGGCGGCCCCGGGCGTGGCGGATGAGGCGCCTCCCAGAGCCCCAAAAAGGCCCGGAGAGGCCACACGATCGTCGTCGGGCCACGCGCGCGCGGGGGCGACGGGGGTGAGAGGGGGCGGCAAGGGGAGGGGGCACTGGCTCTGTGGGGAAGAGACCGAGCGGGGATCCGTGTCACAGCGTCGATAGATGGGCCATGGGACAATACGTCGCCGATGGCGGATCAGCAAGTTCCCGGGCGGGGGTAGGGCCGTCGAGCCCTTTCATGTCGGCGCTGAATGGGCGAACGGGGGTCGATGCGTCTCCCCTGAGCCTGTCCTGCAGGTCCCGAAACGGTGTGGTGGCAGACCGTGCGGTGGCCTCGGCATCCCTATGGAGATCTCCCCCAACGGCGTCCGTCACCGCACGACGTTGGGACCCTTGTAGGCTTAGGTCGGGCATGGCCTCCTACAGGCGGGAACGCAAAACTAAACATGTCAAGGTAGACTCAAAAATAGTCCAAACAAAATTCATAAATCGCCCCCCCGAGTGAGACAGCCTCGGATAGAGCCGCCCCGGCCCCTGACAGCCGTGCGGCCGCTCAGAAGTCCGCACTGCCACACCACTCTGCGGGGCCACCGCACTGATGGGAAGCCCCCGACACGGTGTCAGTGCACGGCCCCAGGGGTCCCGACCCCTTTCCTGAGGGGTTGTTTTGCGTCCCGCACCCATTGTGGATTGCCCCTGGTCCCGATGACGGGCCCGAGACGGCCGAAGTCGAGGATGCCGAGACTGAAAAGGTCATGCCGTCGAAGATCTGTGGATATCCCCCCCTCCCCCCCTCTAAGCGCGTCCCCCCCTGACGCTGCCTCTGAAGGGTCGGAGAGACACAAGACTCGGCTTCGGGGGGACTCGGGCTGGCCTGACGGGGCCCTCAGGAACACGACGAGACCCAGCCTGAAACTTGACGGGAGCTCCCGCTGAAAACATCCCAGCGACTCTGGACCCTCAAACACGGGGGCGTTGGGAGCGAGTGAGTGGGGGGGCGATCAGCGGGGGGGAAGCAAGGTGCAGGCCCCTTCCTGGGCCCCAACGGGCCCAGGTAAAGGGCCCTACAGAGGGCCCCTTCTCTGCGGCCCTCGCTGCCCGCCCCCCATGCCTCCCCCCCATTACGCGTCCTCCGAGGACGGGCCCGTCAACGAGCGCCGGCAAACCCGAGCACAGGCGAGCTCGAGCCTTCCTCTCGGCTACAGCTGGGCTGCTGGAGTAAGGAACGCCAGATAAGGAACGGAGCCCCTCTGTGGCTTCAAAATAAGCCTGGGTGCGCGAGAAGGGCTAGAGGAACAACCACAGCAGGACGTAAGGAACATTGAGCCCCTTCCGAATCCAAACTGTTCCTTATTTCAGCGTCTTGGCTGTACATGCAGGAGTGACCCTGGGTAAGAGTGACCTTTGGTGCGCGGCTTCTTGGACGCGACACCGACGGACCAAACACAGGCGCGCGCAAGACGCTGCCATCGCAATCGCGCTCGGCAATCGGGGGACCCCAAAAGGGGCCCGCACCAAGAGGCCACTCCGGCGAAGGGTCACTCTTGCGGGTCTATAGTCGATCCTCTCCCCCCCGAGTCGGGGGGGGGAGGGCGGTGCGGCGGGCGCCTCCTGGACGGCGCACCGGCGAGGCGTGCAGGCCGTGCCGGGTACGGAGCAGAGCACGCACTGGGCGTGCGCAGCGGGGGGGCGGCGGGCGGGCCGAGAGAAAGAGAGAGAGAGAGAGAGAGAGAAAGAGCGGGTGGAAGGCGGGGGCCTCTCGGGGCGCCAGCGGGGCGGAGGCGAGGGGCAGGAGGGAGCGGCAGAGGGAGGAGGAGGAGGAGGAGGAGGAGGAGGAGGAGGGAGAGGAAAGAGGAGGAGGAGGAGGGGAGGGAGGAGGAGGAGGAGGAGGAGGAGGATGAGGAGAGGCCGCGGAGGAGGAGTGGGTGAAGGAGGGGAGTGAGCGGGAGGAGGGGGAGGAGTGGAAGAAGGAGGAGGAGGAAAAAGAGGAGGAGAGGCGGAGGGGAGAGGGCAGAGGAGGAGGAGGAGGAGGAGGAGGAGGAGGAGGAGGAGGAGGAGGACGAGGAGGAGGAGGAGGAGGAGGAGGAGGAGGAGGAGGAGGAGGAGTGGGAGGAGGAGCAGGATGAATGGGTGAAGGAGGACCCCGGGACGCCAGCGGGGTGAAGGGAAAAGGCCCTTCGACCCGCTCGCGTTCGCGCCGCCCCCCGCCTGCACCCGCCGTTCATCGTGTGCCCACTGACCTGTGTTTGCTTCTGTTGCTGACGGGGCGCCGGAACGGGCAAAAATTGTGCAGCGCAACAATTCTAGAGGTGGGCAAGATCGGGGAAAAGCATTTCTCCGGGAAAAGGGTTAAAGGAGGAAGAGGAGACGGAGGTGGAGGAGGAGGCGGACGACGACGACGACGACGACGACGACGACGACGACGATGAGGACGAGGACGCGGACGAGGAAGAGGAGGAGGAGGAGGAGGAGGATGAGCAGGAGGAGGAGGAGGAGAGCGCCATCGACAAGGAAGGTGAGGGCCACGAGGTCCGCCGGCTCGACGCCCGCGTCGCCCCGCCCGCCCCCTCACTCTTATCCGCAATTTAGGGGTGCTACGTATATTCATGTGTTCGTTTGTTCCTCTATTCTCCTCCGTCCCCTCCCCTTCCTGCAACCGCTCCTTCCTCCCTGCTCGCTCACCCCTTGCCCTTCCCTCACTGGGTGTACCAACGATGGAAACGAGCACGAGAACCAGAGCCCCGAGCTCTGTCGTGACTTTTCGAAACGTGCCCACCCGCCCAAAGTTCTGGGCCCGCTCCCCGTTCCCTGGCTGTTCCTCCCCAATCATTCCTGGACGGCATGGAGCTCAGGGGGCCCCGGGAGGCCGACAACGTCCCCAACCCGCCCGTCGATTTTTTGTTCACGACGCCAGGGGGTCTGCATTGAATAAGGAACCATTGAATAAGGAACCATTGTTTATTTCATGACGCTAGGGGGTCTGCATCCATGAACTGAACTCGGTGAGCGCATCGAATAAGGAACCATTGGACAAGGAGCCCAGGGTCTGGAAGCCTGGTGGAGCACCAATCTTGGATTGGCCATGGGTATCACCGCCGCCCTCGTCAGATAAGGAATCCTCCAGGGTCTGCAGCCTCCTGAGCACATCCCTTAACCGACGCCCCCACCGTACTAGAGTCCGCCTAGCTGTGGTCTGGGTAATCAGTGGTGTCCAAGGATCGCGCCGCATCGCCGATACATCGGTGATACATCGCCGATGTATCAGCGATGCATCGGGCGACATCGGCGATGCATCGGCGGCGTGGATAAAGTCGGGCCCCGCATCGAGCCGCTCATCGGCGATGCGGCGCGATCCTCTGGCCCCATCCACTCCGACCACGTCTGAGAGGCCCACGGTCAGGAGCTTTTCCTCAGCATGTCGCAGCGGCGGCCTCGGCGACAGGCTGTCCCCTGCGAGCGGACAGCGTGTCGCTCCGCGCCGAGGGGCGGGAGCCTAGAACGTGGGCACCTCATGCCCACGACGCACTACAGCAAACGTTCCCGACCGCAGACGAGCGCACATCAGCAGAAGAAGAACAAGCGCCAGAAACATAGACTGTTGGCGCCCCGCGCGGAGTTCTTGGATCTGCGCCAGGGGCGGCGCTGGAGGCGCCGCCAGGGAAGCCCAGCGCGGATCCCAGAAATCCGCGCGGAGCGCCGAAAGCTTATGTGTATGGCGCTCGCTCTCCTTCGAACGAGCTAGGCTCTTCTGCGTGCAAGACTCATATCCATATTCAGTGCCTCTTGGACTTTTTTGGAAGCGGCGCCACAGGGCCGAGGCGTACTGGATGTGGATAAACATCGAGCCTCTCTGGGGGGCAAATTCATCCACATCCAGTGCGCCTCGGGTTTCTTGGGCAGGGAGCCCGAAACTCCATACTGCAGTGGATATAGACAGAAGTATTGCCCGCCTCTTCCTGAAGGGGCCCTGGGACACACAAATAAATACACACACGAATAACCAGATCCCCGTATATTTTCCCATATGTTCTGGGTTTTTGTCTTCCCCCCCCCCACACTTCCCATAGTTTCCCATGTTTTCTGGGGAATCGCCGATTAATTGTGCCTGTGTGTTTTTTCCCCTCCTGATCTCCCGCCCTCGGCCGCGCACACCCCCGCGAGCAGCGCCGCGGCCCCCGCGGCGCCCCCGCCGCCCCCGCCCGCCAGGCGCCGCAGGTAGCGCTGCAGCAGCGCCGGCGGCCCCGCCGCCACGCCCAGGCGCGCCGCCTCCGCGGCGGGCACGGCGCGGCCCCGCGGCCGGCCCCGCGGGGGGCCAGGCGCCCCAGCTGCGCCCGCGCCAGAGCGGGACGTCCCAGACCCCCACGACGCCCGCGAGAGAGAGTGAGGAGGGAAAGGGGGAGGAGGAGAGGACTGAGGAGGAGGAGGAGGAGAAGATGAGGAGGGAGGAGGAGGAGGATGAGGAAGAGGATGTAGTGAGGATGAGTGAGGAGGGATTAAGGAAAGTAGGCTGAGGAGGAGGCTGAGTAGGATAATGGAGGAGGAGGGAGTCGGATGAGGAAGGGAGGAGGAACAGAGGCGGAGGTAGTAGGGAGGAAGCGGGAGGAGGAGGAGAGGAGGGGGAGGAGAAGGAGAGGAGTAGGAGTGATGAGTAGATGATGAGGCGGTACAAGGTCAGACGGCGGGGCTAATGCGGCGCGGTATCTCCTCCCCGACCCCCGCACTACTTCGAGGCCCCGCCCCCTCCTCGTGTCGGCTTGGGCCCAGGAAGCCCCGGGCGAGGCCATGGTCCCAGACCTCCGAGGGGGTCCCGCGCTTCTCCACGCGCTTCTCGAGCAGGGGATCGCCTACAGAGTTTGGTTTGTCCGCAAACTGATTTGTTCGTCGACTCCATTCGGGTCGGGCAAAGGGGGAGATAGCCAAAGGGGGGGTTTGAGAATCAGCCCACGTAGCTGATTTTCCCGGCGCCGGAGGCGGCTATGCATCGAGGAATGGGCCCCTCGGCGAGGCCGAAACCAGCTGCATGCAGCAGATTTCGTACCCCCCCCCTTTCCCAATCCCCCCCCCTCTCGTCCGGCCCGATCCACGAGAACTGCGTCGAAAGTTCCGTAGATTTCTACGAGCACTCTACGGTAATGGCTCGACGAGGCGATCAATTCTGGGGCACAGCAACTCTGCAGTCGATCCACTACAGACTACAGAGTTGATTTGTCCCGAAACTGATTTGTTCGTCGACTCCATGAGAACTGCGTCGAAAGTTCCGTAGATTTCTACGAGCACTCTACGGTGATGGCTGGACGAGGCGATCAATTCTGGGGCACAGCAGCTCTGATCTTGCAAAGACAGAGGAGGAGGAGGAGGAGGAGGAGGAGGAGGAGGAGGAGGAGGAGGAGGAGGAGGAGGGAGGAGATGGAGGAGGAGGAGGAGGAGGAGGAGGAGGAGGAGGAGGAGGAGGAGGAAGAGGAGGAGGAGAGGAGGAGGAGGGAGGAGGAGGAGGAGGAGGAGGAGGAGGAGGAGTCGATCCCCTGCGCGAGCGCTGGGAACAACCTCGCGACGCCGGGGGGTCTGGGGCTCGGAGGAGGGCCCGTCGAGGCACCCGCGGCCCTCCCGCAGCCCGCGTCTCTCCGGCCCCGAGCTTGCGCCGGGGGCCTGCCGGGGGGGGGGGGCCTCTCGTCGCCCCGGCTGGGTCCGCCGCGAAGAGGCAGCGAGAGAAGGACTTGGCATCGCTCGGACGTGTGCATTTTTTTCTCGGCGAGGACCCTGGAGGAGCATCCTGGACAATCGAGCAAAAAAAAACACGCACGGAACCGAAAAATGCACGGGAAATGGACGTCCGAGCTGGCGCCTCGAGCACCGAAACGAGACGGAGGTCCTTCGCACACTGTCGGCCTCTCGCGGCCCCCCCCCGGGCCTCGCGGGGTCTCCAGAAGACACGCCCGGCGGGAAGAAGAACCGGTCCCAGGGAAGCGATATCGAGAGGTCGGGGCCCCGGTGTCTCGACACCATCGTGCCGCTGGACGTCTGGGGAGGCCAGGCTGGACCGAGGGGAGGATCTGCGGACCGATTGTCGTCGGAGTCGGGCTGCCACATGTCCCTCCTGGCCTTCGCGTCGCAGCCCGGGCCTCCAAGAGCCGCTCGAGGCGAGCTCAGCACCCCTGCAGGAACGCTCTCGGCGAGGCGCAGCTGAGGGAACCCCTCCCGAAGTGGGACAACCGCGCCCGGAAACCTCGGACCTGCCGGCGCCCCGATGCTCCAACGATCAGGGGAGCCGCCGCTGCTCCAGCTGGCCTCCTCCGAGGGACGGCCAGCGCCAGCGCGACCGCGCCGCCGGCGCCAGGCAGCGCGTCGGAGGCGACGGTGCCGGCGGCCACGGCGATCAGCGAGCCGAACACGAGCTTCGACGCCCAGTTCAGGAGCAGCATGCCCCACGGCGCCGCGCGGGAGGTGCCGCGCGCGTGCAGCGTGTGGAGGCACAGGCCGGCCTGAAGACGTAGCCAGGACCGGGGCAAAACTCGGACCGGGGCAGATCGGGGCCCTCCGAGATCTGGCACTCCTGGAGGATGCATCGAGCGCCGCGGCCGTTGCGGAGCGCTCTGGAAGGGTTCCTCCCAGTCCGAGCCCCGCCCGACCTCGTCGAAGTGCACCGCCGTGGGGACCCGCTGCCTCAGCCGCACGAAGAAGGAGAGGTCCTCCCCGAGGCTCTCGTCAGGGTACGGCGACTCGCACGCCGCCGCGCGGCTGTAGACGTAAGAGAAGCCGTACCCGTAGAGCCACTTCTCGCGCTCTCCCGGGTCCTAGAAGAAGAAAAAACTGCATAAAGATAAACTGTTGGCAATCCGCGCGGATCTCTTAGATCTGCGCGGGACCCCTGGAGCAAGCCAGGGGCGGCGCCGGAGGCGCCGCCGGGGGGTCCGGTGCGGATCCAAGATCCGCGCGGAGCGCCGAACGTTTATGTTTACGGCGACTTTTCTCCTTCGAGGTCCATGCCCCGCGGGTCCAGGTGCTCCAGCGCGCCGGCCGCCTCTGGGAGGGCGCCTACACACCTACACAGATGCTGACCGGGCTCATCCTGACTTCCGAACCTACCAGACCACCCAAACCCGACCCGAAGGCCCGAATTTCGGGTTGGAAGGGGGGGTACGGGGTCCGTATGTGTTTTTCAGTGTTCCCCGACCCCCCCCCCACTGGAAATGGAGGGCGAACTGGGCCTGGGGCCTTCGGGTTGGGTTGGGGTGGTTTGGTGGGGGTGGTGACATCCTGGGCCCCGGCCGAGGCTCAGTGCAATGCGAGCCCCTCTCCTCCTCCCTCCCTCCTCCCTCCCTCCTCCCTCCTCCTCCTCCTCCGCCTCCTCCTCCTCCGCCTCCTCCTCCTCCTGGATCGGTGCACACGCCACCCTGCGCTCGGCCAGGGAGGCGGTGGACACGCATCCTGGCCCTGGGCTCGGCCCGGTCCAGGATCTGAGCCCCTCGAGCAGAGCAGGCCTGCGGCCCCTGTGCATTGCCCCACGGCGCGCGCCGACACGCCAAGGGCAGGCGAAGCCGGAGCGAGGAGCAGAGCGGAAGCGGCCGAGGGCGTTGTCTTAGCGGGATGCCCGTGCCCCGAGCGGCCATGCAATGAAAAGCCACAGCGGCAGCCAGAGAGGAGACAGAAGGAGGCAGGGCGAAGGAGACGGAGAGGGGGGAGCGCCGCCCACACGAACGACCGCAGAGGAAGAAAGCTCCGTGCGCGCGTAGACCGCCTCCCCGGAGCACTGCAAGACCCTCACGAGCCTCACGGTGCAAAGCAGGGCCGCCCACCCAGAGGGAGGGGGCCGAGACCACGGGGCGAGCACGAAGTACCGATACGGCCAGCACAGCGCGGAAGAGCACGGAGAGGGAGGAGAAGCATAGCAGAATCGAGCAGGAGGGAAGGCGCGCACGTCTAGGCAAGCACAAGGAGCCAGCAGGGGGCCAGACTTGGATGGGGGCAGGGGGCGGGCAACTCCGGGAGCAAGCCGCCCCTGACGCCCAAAGGCGGTGGGCGCCGCCCTTAGGGACGGGGGGCCACGGCCTCCTCCTCCTCCTCCTCCTCCTCCTCCTCCTCCTCCTCCTCCTCCTCCTGCACTGCAAAGCCGTGATCGAAGGGGCGCGGAGAGTGGAGGATGAGGACGAGAAGAGGAGGAGGGCCAAGGACAGCAGCCACGGCGGGCCTCAGCAGGCGAGGCCAGAGGACATATAGTCATTGGCGTCCCCGTCTGCGGCCCCGTCCCCACCCCATGAAGACAGCCACAGTCCGCAGGTCGACCCGGGGACGCCAGGCTCGTCGACCTCGGCGGCTTCGTGTCGATCGGGTCGGCTGTGCTGGCAGTCCAGGGAGGCCTCGGCGTTCTCGGAACTGGACTCCGTCAGCAGTACCGCTGGTGCTGCTGCGCGTGGCGCTGCCGGTCCCAACCGTCAATCGTGGAACTCCAAACGGTGCTGCCAGATACGCTGGTGCCGCTGCGCGTCTGCTGCCCTCACTTAACGCACTGCAAGCAATCCTGCTTGCGGTCGTCGCCAGGAGGCCGATGTAGATGTGCTGGTAGTCCGGGGACGTCTCATGTTCTCGGAGCTGGATCTACTAGAACTGCCGCAGGTGCTGTTAATTTAAGCGTGGCGTTGCCGGTCCCAATCGCGCGGGTCGAACTGGTGCTGCTGAATGAGCTGGTGCCGCTACTCGTGGCGACCGTGCTGCTGGCCTCACTTGACGTCCTCCCAGCAGTGCTGCTTGCGTTCGTCGTCAGGACGCCGATGTGGGTGCAGATGTACCTGTAGTCTGGGGAGGCCTCGGCGTTCTCGGAACTGAACTCCGCTATCAGTACCGCTGGTGCTGCTGCGCGTGGTGCTGCGTGTCCCAGTCGTGGGAACCAAAGTGGCGCTGCCGAATGCACTGGTGCTGCTGCCCGTGGCGGCCCTGCTGCTGCCCTCACTCGAGGTGGTGGTCCACGCCGTCTTGCTGGAGCTGACTGTGCTGCTCAGCACCGTGGCTGCTGGCATCCGGCGTGCTGTGCGGTGTCGTGCTGCTGCAGCCCACCGCACCGCACCCTGCCGTGATGCCGGCAACCGTCGGGCTCTGGGCACCCGGATGCCGGTGCGCGCCCCCTGGTTGCGTGCCAAGGGGAGGGCCTCTGCGTGTGGTGGTGTCGAGTTTTACATGTGCGGTGGTGGTGGTGGTGGTGGTGATTTGTTGCGAGCGATGTCGACGAGTTGCTGTCTCATATGTTGCGTGTGTTGTGGTGTCGACCACACCGCTCTCCCTCCGGGACTTCGCCCCCGGCTCCTGTCCAAGGCGCACCTTTTCCTGTGCAAGCTCTTCGGCACCGCCTGTACTCCGCACCCTCCGGCCGCCTGAGGCCCCGCCCGCCCGCGCCCTGTCTCCCCAATTAGTGCTTCGCGCGCCCCGCCTAGCTCTTAACTGGAAGAGGCCCGCTCTCGACCCGCCGACCAAAAAAGTGTGATGTGGTGTCGAGCTGTTGCGTTGGTGGAGGTGTTGGGACTTGTGGCGGGGATGCTGTTCGAGTCTGTGGTCGTCAGCGGCGACGTACTGCTGATCTTGTGGGTAATCGTAAAGCGGGTCGCGCAGGCGGATGTACCAACCCTTGCAGTCGTCCTTTTGGAAAAGCCTGTGGTCGTTGATATCGCGATTACCCGCGTAATCGACGCCACGGGCGCCAGGATACCCAGGATAGGCAGCTGAACTCCCACGTGGTGCTGAACACGCTTGCGTGGCCCAGAGACGTCGTGGCCGGCATACTGGTCAGCAGAAGCGGCCTGGCAGTCCAATGTGACCCCGGCGCATGCCTTGTAATGTATGTCAATACTTTTGTGACCACTCCGTCACGCTGGTCAACGTCGTTTTGCAAGGACCCGTTGTGTTGTGCGTGTTTCCCAGCATCAGCTGTATCGATATCGCATCGCATCCCATGCGAGAGGACAGCGCAGGAGCACACGAAGCCCAGGGGCTGCCAGAAAAGGGTGGCTGTTGTTCCTCGTTGCCGACATGATTCCCAATCGTGGTTGGTCCCAGTCGTGGTCCCAGTCGTGGCAGCTACAGAGATGCTGCGAGTGACACGGGTACAGCAACGAATTGTGCTGCTGGTGCTGGTCGTGGTGTCACACTGGGTGCTGCTGGTTGTGCTGGTGCTGCTGCGTGCGGTGCCGCTGGTTGCGCTGGG